TTGACGCTAACGGGCACCTTGATGCTGACGCTGACGGGGACGTTAACGTTGACGCTAACGGGCACCTTGATGCTGACGCTGACGGGGACGTTAACGTTGACGGGGACGTTAACGCTGACGCTAACGGGCACCTTGACGCTAACGGGAACCCTGACGCTGACGGGGACGGTAATGCGCACCTTGACGCTGACGCTGACGGGGACGGTAATGTGCACATTGAAGCTGACGCAGACGCTGACGTGGTAACGCTGCGACGGCGCGTTCGTAACTACTACGCATTCACTCACTCATGCACACGTACCTTTCGGTATGGCGATGCCGCAGCCGAGGTCCATGGCCTGCAGCTTGGCGAGTGCGATGTTGTGTAGGGCGAGTCGCTCCAGCTCAGACAGGTTGAAGAGCGTGGTGTCGCTGAGCACCACACCACGCGTGCCCATGCAGCTCGTCCATTTACACTGACCCTATAGACGAGAGACAAGAGAGAGAGAGAGAGTGAGTGAGTGAGAGAGAGAGAGAGAGAGAGAGAGGAGAGAAGAGAGCGAGAGAGAGAGAGAGAGAGAGAGAGAGGAGAGTGAGTGAGAGGGAGGTCGGTGCAGAGGAGGAGAAGAGAGAAGTGGGTGAGCGAGAGAGAGTTGGTGAAAGAGAGAGAGGGGGTGGGTGAGAGAAGGGGGGGTGGTGGAAGAGAGAAGAGAGAGAGAGAGTGGGTGAACAGAGTGGCAAGAGAGAGATGGAGTGGGTGAGAGATCGAAACGGCGGGGTGAGCGAATAAGGAGAGGAGTGGGTCGGAAAAGAGCGAGGAGAGAGAGAGGAGAGAGAGGTGGTGATGGGAGCATAGGGGTGAGAGAAGTGGGTGAAGCGGCGAGAGAGAGAAGAACGGAGAGGAGAGCAAGCAGAAGCAGAAAGAGCTGGTGAGTGGGAGATAGGGGCGTGGAGCAGAATGGAGATAGAGACAGAGAGGGGCGAGGAGAGAAGAAAGAGAGTCGGTGAGTGTGAGCGAAGGGGAGAGAAGCGAGGAGAGAAGGGAGAGGGATAGAGGGAGACAGGAGAGAGAGAGAGAGAGAGAGAGCGAGAGAGAGAGGAGAGAGAGAGAGAGGGTGAGAGAGAGAGGCGTGAGGGGCGAGAGGCAGAGGTGCTTGAGTGACTGAGTGAGTGAGTGACTGAGTGAGTGAGGATCGAGCTGAGCTGGTGAGCTGAGTGAGTGAGTGAGTGAGAGACTGAGTGATGTGAGTGACTGATGAGTGGCGTGATAAAACACGCACGCCTCACGCATTCACGGCGAACGCCAATACGCGCACGTACACAAGACGTCCTGCACGCCGCGTCACGTATTATTCAAAGATGTGCACATCTACTAATATAATAGTGAGAAGAGCCGCAGGTGTCGTTTCGTATCTCCTCCGAACGCGTGCCACGTAGTCTACGCGAA